TTCCTGTATAGGAAGCAATGAAGGTTTCACCTGTTCATCACTATCGTGTTAATTCAATCCACATTTGTTCTTGCATTTGTAATACTAGGGGGTAGGCGTGAGGTATTTCCCTGTCCCCAAGGAGCTCACAGTCTTGACACAGCCCAGGGCGCCTCCCCAGCTCTGTCACCACAAAGCAATCCACCCGCCCACCCACAGAGGGACTGGGGCACATGTGTGTGAAATGGAGGCCAGGAAGACAGAGCAATTGATCAGCAAGGTGCTCAGAGACTGATCTGGGCTCTGGTCCTGGAGGCCTTGGGGGAGTCCAGCTCTTTCGTGGCCACTCTTTGGTGTCTCCGTGGACTTCCCCTCTGCTCACCTTCATCACCTTTGCAATATACTGTTGAATGGCAGTGTGGTGACAATGCCTTGTTCAGCATCTGACACACAGTAGGAACTCAACAGACATGTGTGGTCTGACTCCTCTGCCAGCTTCACAGAGCAAACCAGGCTTCCTGGAGGAGGGAGGTTTTAGAGGAAGTCTGAGGGGCCTCTGTGGGCCTGCAGGAGGAGGCACTTTTACTTAGAGAAGTGCCACATGTGCAATAAATGCATGATGCAAATGCATTTACTCGTGCAATAAAGACAAGGTGATGCGGCGGCTGCTGCTGCTGCTACTGCTGAAGGTGATGGTGATTAGTCATGAGCAGCTGAGGAGCTGGGTAGTCTGAAGAAGGCAGAGGCTGAGCCAGTTGGTGTCAGATGATGCATCCAGCTCTAGGGTCTGAGGGGATGTTTCTGAAATCCACTGACAAAGATGTTGCTCTATTTCTCCCTGTTGGAGCAGCTGGGGGCCCAGCACCTGGCAGGGGTCCCAGTATCCCCTCCTGGAAGTGCATACCACAAGGATTTATGATAGCCTGCCAAGGTGAGACGTCACTTGGGAGGTCATGGTGGGGGCTCTGGGCTGCTGTGGGGAGGCTGGAGGGGATGTCAGCCCCCTGGAGGGGATGTCAGCCGCCTGAAGCAAAGCTGGAACCAGCCACTCCAGGGCCTCCTGCCCTCTCTCTGTTGGTGCCCTGATTCTTCAGTGTCTTCCCTGTGTGAATGCTGGGAGAAGGGGTGGGGCTCCTATTTATCCTTCAAATGACATCAAGGAAGGGGCTCTTTGTTTTGCAGGATGAGGGGGAATTGCTGGCTCTGCTGCTATTTATAGTTGAAATGTAATCATTTTGCCTTGTTCTCAGGCCTGCAATAGCTGGTGTTTCCCTCTCACTTCCTCCCGGTGCATAGTCTTTCCTTTAAAATTTTGAAGCCCTATTGACAGTTTCCCCATACATTCTCAGGGGCCCTGAGGAGGTGACAGTTTAGTCACAGTAATTCAGCCGATATTGACCAGGACGGACTGCACAGAGCAGGCCTGAGTGCTTTATGTTCAACTAATCCGTACAGCTATTTGCTAAAGCAGGTTCTGTGGGCACCCCCACTTTACACACAAGGAAAATAAACCATAATGTATAAAGTCACCTCCCCAGAGTCATCAGGTGAAAAGGGGGCAAAAAAGAAAAAAAAAGAAAAAGAAAAAATCCCAGTCTCTTAACTACAAACACTTAAATCTCCAAGAAAGGTAGTTCCTATTTCTGGCATTTGGATGGAAGACAGAACAACTAACTAATTAAAGAATAAAAATGTTGTTGGTGGCTGCTGGAAATGCCTTTTAATGTAAAAAATGGACTTGAAACATTGCGTCCTTTTTAGATCTGATTCCAGACCAGATAGCTTTTCCCCACTAACAATCTCACCATTCCAGGGTACAGAAGCCACAGCAGCTAAAGTTATGCCATCTCTGAGCACTGGAGGAGGCCAGAAGGACCAGCGATGGGGTGCAGGTTTCCCATTGTCAGATGCCCCAACAGATTAATCACACTCATGCTCATCGTCCAGGCCCCATGACCCCTCCCCATGCCCATTGCCCATGGCAGAGTAGCTGGGGCACAGCAAGGTTCCTGCAGAGAGCACTGGTAACCTTCCAGAGACCGGGCTAGGCAAGGGCGGCAACAAAGAGCTGGAGAGGTTTTGCTTTATTTGTTTTGATCATTAGGGAGGAAACCAAATGAAGAAGGAAATGTTTGGCCTAGAATAGTACAAAGATGACCCCAGGGCCTCCACAGAGAGGAATCCAGACCTAACAACCACTCTTTTTGCTCCATTCAGGCAGCTAAGCCCAGACTTGCTGGATGTCTTGGGGAGAAGATATGACAGAAACAGAGAAGAAAATGCCTTTTGTTGGTTTTTGAGGTTTAAAAGTCTATGACAGATGGACACAGGTTTAAGTCTAATGCTTAAAGAAGAGGGTGGGGATATCATGAATAAGACCAGCCGAAGACAGGGCATAGCCCTTGGTTGGGGGACGGTACAGAGGCAGTCGGAAAACGCTGCCCTAAAAGTTTATGCACAATGGAATATTACTCAGCAATCCAAAAAGATACTCATGCAGTTTGCAGCAACATGTATGGAGCTGAAAGGGATCATGCTCAATGAAATAAACCAGAAAGAAAAAGAAAAATACCGGATGGTCTCACTCATAGCAGGAATCTAGAAAACTTAAATAAGGGACCAGGAAAAAGACTAATTATAATAAAGTAAAAATCAAAATCAACAAGCAACTATAAACCAGAGAAACACTACAGGGGTGGGGGGAGAAGGGAGTAGGATCAAAACAGGGGTGGTGGGAATTGAATGGGGACTATAACTGTTAGGGGGAAAAGGATGTCCCAAAGCAAATTCCATATAGGCTTTGTGGACTCCACCCCCACCCCAGGTCAAAGCCAAAGACACTGGGAACTCCAAATCCCATCACCACCAAAGGGAAGGTGGCTGGGACCTGAGGGTGGGGTTAAGCAGCCAGGTGGATATAAAGGCAGACACGTGGGCTTTGGATTCCCCCATTTTGGCTCTCCGCCAGCTCGCAGTCCGGCCAGCTCTGAGAGTGACTTTGGGTTTCCAGGTCGTCGGATCGGATAGGACGCATTAAAGACTTTATTTCCCTATTTTCTCCCTGAGTTGTACATTTCCTTATTTCTTTTTCTCTTGTAAATAAACCTTTTATTAACCTTTTTGTGTGTGTCTGTAGTAGAGTATTCATAAGTCCCTTTAAAGCATGCGGGTGAGGACCCACAGCCAGGAACCCGTTTAATATCGGGGCTGCTCTATAACATAACCAAGATGAAAATGCATACATTGGGGCCTCCCCGGTGGCACAGCGATTGAGCGCTGGGCTGCAGAGCTGCCCGCAGCCTCTGCAGCACCAGTTCAATCCCCGGCCACCAGGTGAGGGTCCCACATGGCACGCAGACCTCTCCTGCCGCCCGCTGCTCCCCTCAGCAGTGTACTTCGGCCCTTCTGCCTGCTCTGCTCCCCGCTCTGGCTCTGGTGAATTCTGTCACCCTCCCGCGCTTCTGACTGTACCCAGTGCTTGTATAAATAAATAAATAAATCTTTAAAAAATAAATAAAATAAATAAAAGGAGAGTTGTTTTTTTTAAAAAAAGAAAATGCATACATTGTGCAAAAATGAAAAATGATGTAAAAAATATATAAAATAAAATAAAAAAAAGATGTTAAAAAAAGAGGAAAAAAAAGTTTTGATCTCCCAGGAAGGTGTCTTGAACCATTTGCCCTGTTTAATCCTCAGGCTAGAAGCAAATCTCTCAGCCAGACTGTGGCGTTAACGACCAGAGCAGTTAGTACCACTTCCTGGAAGGGCTGTGGGGAGGCAGAAAAGAAAGGAGGCCAAGAGTATCAGACAAAAGCAGGCTTTATTGAAAGTCCATGAGGGGACAACTTTGTAGGCCAAGAGTCGCACCCCAAACTGGGAGCGCGGGTCTTTATAGGATTAGGCTACTGCCAGAGTTTTTTGGCCTGTGAGGGTGGAGGGCGGCAGTGTCTCTCCTGCCAGGAAGGTCTGTGCTAGGATTTACTGCCAGGGGCAGGGGTCTCTCCCGCCAGGAGGGTCTGCTGGAGCATTTACTGCTGTCAACTTATCTCTAGTTTAGCTTATCTCTGGTGCCTCTGGCCACAGGGCACTTGGGCAGTGACGGGTTTTATGATGGGCCTGTGTGTGCTCTCTCCCAAGGTCACAGCCCCCAGTGCACTGTTACCTGGTCTCTGCTGACTACATCAACTTCAAGGTCTAAATTGGCCTCTCTCGGTGAGACCCTGGAGGCAACATCTTAACAAGTGGCCCCCAGGCAAGTTCTCCCTTCAAGTCTCTGTCCCCATCCCTCCCTCCACCCCCACCATCCATGTGTTCCCCTGATATTTCAAGACTCAGCTCTACCATCACCTCCTTTATGAGAGTTCCCCAAGTAAAGTGAGCCAAGCCTTTTTCTGTGACCTCACTGGGCTCTGTGGAGGCTGCCCATGTGGCTCCCGCACCATTTTGGTGAACTTGTCAGTTTCATGTCTTTTTCCTTCCGTGGCAAGATTTTTGGGTTTGAGGATGAGCTGGGGGTGGGGGTTAGGGGAGAAGAGATACATGGTGGAAACCTTCAAAGAGGATGGTGAACTATCTAAGAATGTTAAAAAAATATCCAGCTCCTCTGCTAGCACCATTTTTTTCACAAAAGCTAGATACATTAATACAAAAATAGAAAAGCATTGCTCTCAGATTTAAGGATGGTGCTTCAAAGAAAGGAGACTTGACAAGTCTGCACTTATGTACACATATTGGTCTTAGCTCTTATTTGTCCTTAAGCCATAGGGTGGGGCCAACTTTTAAGACCTCTGTCTTTGAGTGTGAATCTTATGGGGCTGTCTGGGGGCCAGGAAGCTCAACAGCTGGGCAGCTGCCGTTTCCCTGGCAACCAGAACCCTAGGGACACCCTTATGATGCTGCCTGAGGCCCTTCCACCTCCTGTCATAGTACATCTGGTGAGCCTGACCCACTGCTGGGAGCCATTAGTGCTGAGAGTGCCCTTAGGAGATTCCCGGTTGTGCGTGTGAGCTCAGGGTAATAAGGGGTTGACTCAGCTGGTTAATCCCATTTGGTTTTGGGAGCCTTGGATTGATAGTCGCTCTGCATGAGGCCATTGGATCTGATGACTCCCTCCCCCACCCGCAAAAAGGTAGTCCCCAGGCAAAGGGGAGGTTCCCTGCCCCAGCCGAGAAAGGATGGAGCTGAGCAGGGGGGGAGGAGGAGGGAGGTAGAGGGGAAGCTGAGAAGGAAGGAAGCAGGATAGGGCGCCAGAAGGAGACCTGGAGGAGGCACTTGGAGCAGAGAGACATGTATAGAAGCTGCACTTGCTTCTTGGTCCTGGACTGGTTGAAACAGACATGGGTGAGGGACCCATGGGGAGGATAACAATGGCAGCTTTTACCGTGATTTTGATTTTGCTCCTCTATCCTAATGTGTTGGGCCGCTTCTGCTCCTACTAGGGTTCCTACCACAAGGTGCCTTAGACTTGTGGCAGGCTTTCGGGCCTCGGTGGCCTTGCTTTAGGCCAAACCTGTTTGGCTGGGCATTTACCCATGAGGGGATGGGTAACTTTGGGTCATTTGGAAACCATATTCTGTTCCTGCTCTTTGTTGTACACTCATTGTATTAAAGTTCCTTTCCATTAAAGATTTATGCACTAGAATACATTTTGTCTTGATGAGGTGGATGGCAACACCTATGTAGAGCAGGCAGGTTGTGGGTTGTGGGGTGCCCCTCTCCTTGCCCTGTAACACCCCAATCCCAACATTGGACCACTGGTCCATCTTGGATGTGGGGCAGGAGGTGAGTTGGCGGGGGCTGGGGGAGTGTCTGGATGGTGTCAATCTCTGAAATCTGTTACTAACACCTGAGTTTTTCAACTCAAAGTCCTGGCATCTCTACTTCATTTTCTTAGCCGCCTCCTTTTGTTGTAGTATTTTGTAAATCTCCCTTTACTGTTCTGAAATTAAATGTATATATAGCACTAGCCTGCATACATTATACATATAAAACAATTTTTTTAACAAAATAACTTTAAATAATACGCATATAAACATGTAAACATGCCAGCCTAACTACACTGGTAGGATTAATAGACTAGAAACTTGCACTTATGTGTGGAGTCACGTGCAGTTTGGGGATGTCATGTTTTGGTGAGTCAAAAACGAGGAGCTGTGTTGCCGTGGTTGGTTTGGCTTTCTGGAATCTCTGGGTGAAGCACCGCAGAAAACAATGTTTTGATTTACACAGGAATTGCAATCTCAGAAAACACAGCATATGTTAAAACTGCAAAAGCACTTGTTCATATGCAAACACATTAAATGTATGTAAAATAAATATTAAACAGCCAATCAACAAGGCTGTTTGGAGGGGCAGTTCAAAGTCCAGCCGGAGAAGAGACCATTCAGTAATCCTTGTGACAAACCCAAACCCGCCCACCCCCAAACACCTGTTTTCAAACCTCCCATTGAAAACAGCTCCTCTAGGTTTGAGAGCGAAAACAATCCACACACTTGCGAAGCCCAGCCTGGCCTGGGCATGTGCCTCTCTGGAAGGTTCCACACCTTGCTCTTTGGAGGTCAGATTTCCCTAGAGGTGCTTCAAGGCTACAGTCAAGAACCCAGAAGCCCCACCCCCTCTGCTGATTCACCTTTATTTTTGGTTTAAAGTTTTGGATTAGTAATTGCTGACAAAATTGTGGGTGTTTGCCGTGGCCAGGCACTGCTTAGAAGTGACGACACTGAATTCTCCCAGCTCCCTATGAGCAAATGTGAGAACCCTAGTTTACAGACCCTGAGCAGGAGGTTGAGGGTTTATCTAAGGCCACACAGCCCTGGGCCTCTCCCATTTCTGGGTGCCAGCCCTTCCCAGTGCACACTTTGGGCTTCGGAGTGATTTCTTTGGGAAAAATAAAAAGGGGTGTTGCTGTGAAACACAGCCCGGGGAGAAGAGGCAGCAGGGCCAGCAGCTGGATGCAGGTCATTTGTTGGGGCTTGCAGATGGAGCTTCTGTGCTGAAGCACCCCTCCATAGGGCTGCGGGCCCAAACCCAGCTTGTTTGCTTGTAAAAAAGCACTCAAACAATCCCTCACCGCAGATATGATAGAAAATAGGATCAGCACCTACATAGTTGTTTCTTAATGAGGTAGTTACTAGAGTGTGAATAACCTTCCAGACTACAAGGGAAAAATAATTTTATTTGTATATGTTTAACTCTGTAAATGTAATATTGTGGTTTTATAATATAAGCAATATTTAATAAATACATTATTCAAAATATTCTGTTTTACTATGTTAATATATCACCTGGTAATATGTATGTTTCTACATCTATAACAGAATGAGCTAAAAGCCCTCCCCCCGCCCCCCCCCCACAATGTTAAGCTTTGTTTGGCCAAGTGGGGGCTGGGCACGTCTCCTTCCACAGGTGCCATAAGAAGTTTATGATGATTGGCGTTGGATTCTCCTTACAACCAACTGAGCCCTCTCCAGCCAAGAGATCTTAATACTAACAACCCCTCTTGGAGGTCAGTGGATGTTGTCTAATTATCCTCATTTTATGAAGAAGGAAACTCAAGTTCAAAGAGGTTATGTGACTTGCCAGCCAGGAAGGCACCAAGGTGGCACAGCTGAGCGTCCAGTCCCATGTCCTCCACTCCCCTCCGAGGATTGTGGCTGCAACCTGCCTGCTCCAGGCAAGTGATTTCTCAGCAAAACACTGGCTCCTGACTATGACCTCTGGTCCCTGCACAGGTCTGGGGTGTGGGCAGAGCTCTGGGCAGCTGCCAGAAGCCAGGCAGGGCAAAGAACTCTGGGAAACCCCTTCTGCCAGTGCCTATGATGCCGCTGTCTCTTAGCAACTGTTGGTGGTGTCAACAATAAAGGCTGTGAGTGAAGCTGGATGCATTTCAGAGCCTCCAAGGTCTTTGGAAGGGGTCTGCCTCTCCCTTTCCAGTTGAGTGCCCCTGAGTCAGGGTCAGACCTGCAGGGTGCTAGCAGGATTTGGCTGCTCAGTGCCCTCCCCACACCCTGATCTTCCTGGGCCCTGCCCCCGCAGCCGGGCCTGAGCTCAGGACAAATGCAGGCAGTCTGCTCCTCCCAAGTCTCTTTGCTAGGTGCCAGGGCAGGAGGCATCAGATCTGGAGCACTCCTGGCATTCTAATCCGCCAAGGATTCTGCCAGGTGCCAAGTCTCTGGTATCAGGAAAATGACCTCAGAGCTTTGGATGTAGCTGGCAGGCCATAGCCTGGACTTAAAGTTTCCCTTGCAGGCACCTGTTACCCAAACAGGACTGTCTCTCATCTTTTCCCTGCTTCAGACCTTCCAGAAGGGAACTGAAGTTTCTGAGAAAGAAGACATGAAACAGGGGCAGTCAGTGGCAACAGGGCAGGAGGCTGTATGGAAGGATGGAATGGCTACCCACCTGCCCGGGCTCTGAGGCAAAGAGAGCTGCCAAAAAGCCTCAAAAGGCCAAAAACCAAAACCAAGGGCTATAGCAGTACAACACCCACACAGTAGGGGCCTATGTATAGCCTAACGAAGGACAGTGCCCAATAAGAGGACAGGTCACTCTCTGTGGTTGTCCACCCGTACACAATTGCAAGAGACCTCAGGCTCCAGGAACTACAACCATGGGGTTTATTTTACAAACAGGGGAAACAAAGACCTCACTATATCTTCTATTTGTGGCTCTCTCCACCCAGATAGCATCAGTGATGGTCACCACTGGTCACCAGGAGGGCTGGACAGCACTGGCCAGTAGTGATGGTCACTACTGGTCCCCCAGAGGTGGTGTCAGAGACACCCAGTGTTACCAGCTCTTTGTGAGTTGTTGGGTTATCCCAACAACAAACAGCTCTTTGAGGCACCAGGCCCAGAGCCTTTGGTGCTCCCTTTGGGCAAAGGGGCCCACCTTCTCTCTTTCTCCTGAGGCTGGAACCGGCTCTCCTTTTCAGGGGCTGGAGTCATCTCTTCTGTTTAGGGGCTGGCATTGTCTCTCCTTCAGCTCCCTCCCACCCTGGCTTATATCCTCTTTCAGGGTGCCCCACCCACAACTCTAAATGGACCATTGTTCAATCCTGTGGCTGATTAGATCATTTAGCACCAATCAGCTCATAGCTCACACCTGATTGGTCCATTCCACAATCCAGGAAGCACACTGCTACATAAAAGGGCTCTGAGGAGCAACTGCCACAACTGATTTGTGGTGGAGCAGCTCAGCGGGATGAGAGGACACCACTGCTCCTGCCGGCTCCCGCCATGGAGGCGGCTGGGTTCCGGTAACAGGCTTGTAGGATAGGGTGAGGATTTGAAATTTCAAAGTCCCTTTTGTAAGCATCAGGCTTCAGGAAGTCTGAAAACTGCTTTCCTCTTGGGCCAGTGGAGGCAAGCTGACCTGCAGTAAGGCAGGTACAGCTTGGCTGGAATGACCTGAACAGGACTCTCTTGTCTCCAGGGACGAGCTGGGTGGCTCCCGTGGATGGGACGCTGGGATGAGGGTTGCCCTTCATGTTGAGGACACTTTTTGTGACCTTTACCTCCTTCCCTCCCCTCCCTTGCAAGGAGTATGAAACTATTCTGTCAGGTCTGTTTTTTATAGCTGAGGAAACTCAGAGTCAGATGGGTTATTTGTGGTTCATCTAGAGCAAGGACCAAAGCTGGTGAGGAGCGAATTCAATGTTAAATACAGATTTTCCAAATTTTCTACCACAACTCAAAGTGAATCCATTCAAATCTGGGGGAGGGTCATGGTTGTGGGTCCACACACATGCACTTACAACTGCAAGTCATGACTCAGAATGTAACAACAACAGGGTTTATTTAAAAGGGGTGGGAGAGATAAGGAAAAAGGAGTTTCTCACATGACAAATAGCCATCTGTCCTACCCCAAATAGTGTCTGTAGCGTCCAGTAGTCCAAACCAAAATCTGCTATGGCTAATGGTGTTATACCTCCAATACGATCCTGAGCTGAGGGTACAATGCTGAGCAGTGGACCAGGACCCAACACACAGTATCAGGTGGAGGTGATCATACGTGGTGAGGCTGACAGGGCACTGCAGCAGCCAGCAGCACCTGTACAGAGGTTGAGCCAGACAGGCCCAAAGGCAACAGCAACAATGCTGCTTGTGTGGAGACAGGAGTGGCAGCCAGGCAGTGGTGTCTGAGTGTCAGAATCATTGGGCATTTCTCAGAGGTGGCCGGGCATAGGCCAGCAGTGCCAGCCGGCACCAGCCGGCACCAGTCAGGAGCCTGCAATGGGCAGGATCAGACACCAGCGTGCAGCTCTTGGAGGTGGCAGGCATAGGCCAGCAGTGCTGGTGAGCAGGCCAGCTCATGGATCAAGTAGCTGGGTACAGCTCTAGGTGGCGGTGCTGGCTGTGTGGGAGGCAGGAGCAGTGGCCTATGCTCAGAAGCAATAAAGTGACAGTCTGAAGGCTGGAACTGAAGGTGTCAGTGTCTCAAAGAGCCAGTCTCTACGAGTGTGTCCCCAGTTATCTGTTACCCGTTTTTAAGGTTTTTAGGGTCCACGGATTTCAGACCTAATTGGTGTATTTTTAAACCTGGCACTAGTTTCAAAACCCAAACCCCATGTGTGAAACCCAACCTGTACTGCGGCATCACTGAACCCAGAGACACAGAGCTCCTCTTAAAACAGTGCAAGCAAGTCAGCATTTGCAGCAGGGGAGATTTTCTCTGGACAAGGGTGGCCCTGCTGCCGACCAGCTTTGAGATTCAGGCAAATCACCTAACTCTCTGAACTTTAAATTCTCCTCTTGTAAAGTAGGAATGCAGCCATGTTTGCCTCATAGGGTGGGTGTGAGTTTTTCATGTGATAATATCTATTAAGTGGCCAGCACATAGTAGGTTCGAAATGGCAGCAGTTACCAGGTAGATTGCCCATAATGGGTGCTTGCGAAATGTCTGAAGAATGAATCAAATACTTCTCTTGTTTATTTTGCGTCCTTCAACTATTTGCTTTTTTTTTCTATATTCATCTAACTTTTTTTTTATTTAAATATTTTATTTTATATAATTCTTACATCTTTTTTCATCTTTGCACAATGTATGCATTTTTGTTTTGGTTATATTCCCCATACAATTGCATCTCCTTCCTTATTTTGACTCTAGTCCTTCCTTTCCCCGCCCCTCCCTGCCCCCACCCCCATAGTGTGTCTCTGGTTTATAGTTGCTTGTTGATTTTGATATTTACTTTGTATTGATTAGTCTTTTTCCTGGTCTCTTATTTAGGTTTTCTAAATTCCTGCTATGAGTGAGACCATCCGGTATTTTTCTTTTTCTTTCTGACTTATTTTGCTGAGCATGATCCCTTCTAGCTCCATCCATGTTGTTACAAACTGCATGTGTTTATCTTTTTTGATTGCTGAGTAATATTCCATGGTGTATATGTACCACATCTTGATCCAGTCATCTATTTTTGGGCATTTGGGTTGCTTCCAAAGCTTAGCTATTGTAAATAGTGCTGCTATAAACATAGGGGCACAGGTGCCCTTTGGAATTACTGTTTTTGTGTCATTTGGGTAAATACCTAGGAGTGGGAATACTGGATCATATGGAAGCTCTATGTTTAGTAGTTCAAGAAATCTCCACACAGCTCTCCATAGTGGTTGGACCAGTTTGTGCTCCCACCAGCAGTGCAGGAGAGTTCCTTTCTCTCCACATCCTCGCCAACATTTGTTGTTGCTAGTTTTTTTAATATGTGCCATTCTCACTGGTGTAAGATGGTATCTCACTGTAGTTTTGATTTGCATTTCCCTGATTACAAGTGATGTTGAACATTTTGTCATATGCCTGTTGGCTGTTTGCATTTCTTCTTCAGAAAAGTTTGTTCAATAAACGGTGCTGGGAAAACTGGGTCACTACATGCAAAAGAATGAAGCTTGACCACTACCTCACACCATGCACAAAAACCAACTCAAAATGGATTAAAGAACTAGACATAAGACCTGAAACCATAAAATACATAGAAGGAAATATTGGCGAAACACTACATGACATGCACCTCAAAGACATCTTTACAGACACATCACCCAAAGCAGTGATAGTGAAGGCAAAGATAAACAGCTGGGACTACATCAAATGAAAGAGCTTCTGCACAGCAAAAGAGACAATAACCAAAACAAAGAGAAACCCCACCGACTGGGGGAACATTTTTGCACCCAACACTAATGATAAAGGACTGATCACAAAAATCTACTAAGAGCTGATGAGACTCAACAAAAACAAAGAAAATAATCCAGTCAAAAAATGGGCAGAAGAGCTAAAAAGAAACTATTTGCTTTTTTACCCAGAGAAACTAGCTGGGATCAGAAATCTCTGACTCTTGAAAACAAAGAGGTGACACCCGGCCAGGAGGAGGGAAGGTGTGGCTTTTATGTCCTGTTGGGGGCTTTTGCTGACTGAGCTGAGTATGAGGCCTGCACAGTGAGCGCCACCCCGGAATCCAGGACAGCTCTCTGGGGGTACAGGGCTTTTCAGTTACTCACCCTTTGTAATAACAGCATGTTC